TTTGGGGTGTTCCAGTGCCTTGCCTAGGGAGTGCAGTAAATATTACATGTGGGAGAAAGGAGGGAGTGAGACTCAAGCCATTAATTAAAGGCTGCCTAGTCTGGGCAGGCCAGTGCTTCAAGCACAGTTGCCATGGCATCACTGCCCCTGGATGCTCCAGCCTGAGTCATGCTCCCCCTGCTCTGCTGGGGTGCCTGCCTGTCCCTGTGCAGAGAGGGTGACACCAAGGCTTTGGTGACTCACACATCAGAGGGCAAGAAGCATTACTGCACCCCCAATGAGCTCCACTGGAAAACAAATGCATGGCCAGCAGATAAATCTCTGCTGACAGACCAGTGCACCTGTAGGAACTCCTACAACCAATATCAAGGGCACATCTAGTGTTAACATTTTGTTGGGTGAATGAGGGAAAAAAAGCACTGAATGTATCTGTACCTCAGTTTCCTCCTCTGTAGTGTGTGAAGGATATGTGCAGTAGTCTTTGAGTACTTTTAAAGTTTACACCAAAAGTGCTTGGCAAAATGCAGCAAACTATGATTTATTAATGATTTGAAGATGGTCCAGAAACTGAAATGTCACCTGTACCAGTTACAGGGCACGTGCCATTGATAGCCACCCCTTCTATGTACCCTTGTGGTATCTAAAATTTTTCTTTAATTCAGGGCAGCTTTATCCAGGGGAAGGAGATTCAAAAGGTCATCCAGAGGGCTGATCAGTTTGGCATGGGTTTAAACATTTTCAAGTAAATTAGCCTGCTGAGATTTCTTTGTCAGGTTCCAAGCAGAGCAAATGTTTGGGCTCAATCTGAACATCCGGAAAAGGATGCAGAATGTTGGTGCCAATGCTTTTTTAGTATCTCTGGCAGATCTTGTGTGCCAAACTGCTCATGGTAAATTCAATCACCAACTCTGAGCTGATTCTCTCCACCCATCTGAGCTGATGGAGAAATCAGGCTTTTCACTTCCTCTGTAGCAGGTGGCTTTTACCTTTAGCACATGAAAATCTCTTCATATGTCACACCTAATTCATTCCTGCCTTTGCATCACTTACTCTCTGGAGCACAGTTCTTGTGTCAACATTTTTCTTTTATTCTATATGATGCAAGTATTTGGCCTGATTAAATTATAGGCTGGGTACTGGCACACAATTTAGGGATATCGGGGCTGGACTTGGTGGCCCCAAGTCCCTCTCATGGAAAAATGAGACCAAATGGAATCATTACAAAGCACCAAGTAATTTCAAAGCAGCAGGCACTGACAGCAACTCCCAGACAAAGCTGTGACCTGTGCCAGTAGGTGATTTAAGTACCCACCTGGCCTTTGACTCTTCTGACACTGCTGTGAGTGGCACAGCTGCAATGACTGTGCACCAGTGCACAAACAGTAAGCAAAACCTTGTCCAAGTCTGCTCCTGAACAGCCAGATCTCCTTGGATATTCTTGCAGTGATTCATTCTGACTCCAAGCTATCCAGACAGCCCAGTGGGTCCTTCACAGGGGCAGCCTGAGGTGCCTCAGCCAGCGTGTCTGGGGCCTGCTGCCCTTCCAGCACTGGCTGTGTGCAGGCTGGAGCCTCTGCTGACTTCTCAGCATGCAGGATCACGCTGCTTCTCCTTGGAAACAGTGCTTTGCATTGTGCAAATATTAAAAGTAACTTGTTGTGACTTGTTCATTTAATTATGGAGTTGGTTTGAAAGCTTCAGAAGAGTGAAGGGAAATAATATTTTAATTGGATTTTCTCATTGGTACGGAAATAGAATAGGAAATATCTAGAAGATATTAAGTACAGCTGTCTCATTTTAATGAAAAATGTATATGAAATGAAAACAATTTCATTTTTATGTAAATGTCATCACATATCTTTGTTAAACCTTCAGTCTTTCCCATCATGGAAATGATCTTTCAAGCCCCATAAATCTCCAGAGCTGGAAGGGACCCCAGCTCTTGGCAGGTGCCATAACCACTCCTGTTCCTGCTGGCTGGCTTTGTCACAGCTGCTGAGCCATTCTGCCTGCTCATGACAATCAAACTTCATTTCCCTTCTGTCAGGCACTCTAGACTTTTCCACAAATGCATGTGAGATCAGTACTCTGCAAAAAAAGGAGGGCAACTTAAATGTGAGGTAACCAGGCCCAGGTCCAGTAAAAGTGCTCTTGACTTTATTCCAGGCTCAGAAGAGATGCCAAAAACTTCCCTGTGGTGCATTTAATGTCACAGTAGTTCACCTGGATCAACCAGCACATTTGGAATGTGAAGGTAGAGAGAGCTTAACTGGAGCTTTCATCAGCAGCCACAGAGCAATTGGTTCTGCAGAACAAAATTTTAAAAAGATTCTTTTGAGGGCTTATTCTTATTTTCAAGTGAGTTAACATTAATGACACTTTTTTTGCCTTTTTTTTCCCCTCAAGCAGTCTAAAAGCATGCAGGAAAAATACAGGGATGCAATAGAGTGACTGCCTGGCATTGCCCACCAGCCAAAGGGTGTGGGGAGCCTCCACAGCAGCTCCTGCCAATGTCTCTGTTTTTCCTGCTCCTGAATGCAGCATCCCCTGAGCTGTTATAACACAAAACCACATTAGATCTCTGAGCAATCTGCTTCATGTGGGTGATGAACAGCAGTGTGTGCAGGGTGCCAGCATTGCTGAGTACAAACTGACCCTGAATGCCAATGTCCTGGTTCACCAGACACTGGGCACAGTGACCTCCTTCTCTACCATCATCATCTGAAAGCTTTTAAAGCCTTTTGGATGAATGATGAGTATACAGCATTTTCATGGACAAGTGGAAGAATTAATACAAGATTCTCAGGCCTGGGGAATTCTTTAGTGCTCACCAACAGATTGAGATCTAAGCAGGTTTTAGGTGACCTGCATCTATGGTGACAGCTGAGAAATAATTCTATAACTAGGAAATGTTTCTTCCACATTCTCTTCAATTTATTATCAATGCAGTCATTATCAGAAAAGATTGACTGTGAAACAATAATGCAATTGCTTTATCTGCCTGCCTTGTTTTCTCCCCCCCCTGCTCACTGAATGAGTCCACCTAATGTCAGACTCAATAAAGTCAGACAGCTGCTATAAGCAACAAACAGACCCTCATTAAGGGAGGCCCCTTGTGCTGCTTTTGTTTGTGTTCATCTGCTTTATGGGAATAGACAGGAAAAACATGAATATTTAAAGCACTTTGCTGTGGCTGGGAACCAGCTGAACACAATTTCACTGGTGTTTTGCCCCTGTGCCACCTCCTCCAGAAGGAAGCCTCAAAGCCCACTGACCACTCTGCTCCATTCAGACTGAAGTACACTTGCTCTGGCTGCAACAGATTGCTGGGGTTTAATGTGCAAATGCTGTCCTCTAGTAAAATATCCAAAATGTTGACTTGAGAACTGCTTGGTTGCTGTCCAACAGCCCCGTCCCCAGCAGCGCCCTTGCCCTGTGGTGTCTGTCTGTGCTCTCCTTGCACTGCATTTGGGTGCCAGTGTGCTGCAGCTTTGGCAGCAGCTTGTGCTGGGCAGGGAGCACAGAGCTCCTGGCTGTGCCCAGAGAAACACACCAGCCCACAGAGCAAAGCTCCTGCAGCAGGGCTCAAGATTTAGTCAGCTTGACCCCATTCTTTGATATTGCATTAAAACTCCCTGGAGTCTCTGTTTCATTCACAATTGAGATTTTACTTTTGGGTAGGTGCAGTAAAAGAACACCAGCAAGGGGGACCCTCTGCATGGCAACAGCAGGGGTGGATGGGCAGTGGGAAATGCAGCTTCCTGCAGTTCAGGAAGATGAACTGTCACTCCATATCATATTCATGGGGAAAATGGCCTGGCATTCCTTGTAGAATATGAAGCACTGGGGTTTGCACTGTTGTTGCTCAGGCTTGGGAGAGGACTGAACTGATTGGAATAGGAAAGATAGAAAGATGCTTGTTCAGAGACTAAGAATAGTATCAATCCTCTCTTTGTAAAGTCATTATTTTTCAACAGTATATGAAACTTCCATTCTGAAAAAGGTGAGTGCAAGGGGAGAAGCTGATTCCTAAAATAAAGGTGCAGAGTGATAAGGAGGGATACAGTATCTGTGTTCTTTGGTATTTACTGCATTTATATTGGAAATCCCAAGGGAATTGAACACAACCCCTGTAATGAAAGGGATGCAGGACCAAAACTGGTCTTTTGGTAAAAGCTATGAATTATGTAGAAATAAAACTCTGAGAGATAGGAAATGGAGTGCATGATGTCATGAGCTTCTGTGCAGCTGTATTCTCTGATTCCCTTATGACTGAGGATCTGGGAATTGTGCTGCATAGTTCCCATAAGCACTCTTCTGATTTAGGCTCTGCAAATCCCAGCAGAACCACATACTGGGACACAGATACCTCCTCTTCTTTCAGTATGAGATTTCTTCATTTTCTTGAAGAGTCTCATCCACTTATTTACATTGAGATGAAAAGAATAAAGATACTGTGAGATTTCACAGTTAAAATACTGACATAAGTAAAGGTGGTCTTGCAATAGGTAGAGAAGATGTTTTGTTTCTCTGTGGGTTAACTGTGAAGTTCTCTGGGATTGTGAAGAGCAAATTGTCTGTGGGGAAATGACATTTCCTTTTCAATTGTCCTTATGCACCGTGCAGTTATGTGTATTTGGCAGTTCTTTTGTCATGCAGCACAGGTTCTAAGGGCCACGTTAACTGTGTCATTAACTCAGTTCAGGCCTTTGGGCAGTCTGCAAGGCACTTGAGTCCCTTGAACCTTAGAACTGGGGATAATGTGAAAGAAATTGGCGTGTCTTGGTGTCAAATTCTAATGAGGTGCCACATGGAAATTGCTGAGACACTGTGGAGAACAGAGGGCAGGGAATACCACCAGTCTCTCCACCTGAGAAGGGGAAATCCAGGAGAGTGAAAGCTGCAAGAGCTACAGAGGAGAAAGCAGTTTAATCTGATGTCAGAGCACCAACGGGGACTCAATTCAATTCACAAACCCATGAAAAATTGCAAAATCCAAATCCTTTGTGAAGGTTTATTTAGAAAAACCACAATGCTGGGGAGTCACTGTTACATAGCATGGTAATTCTCTTCCTCTTGAGCAATATGCACCACACCGTGCGCATGCAATTACTTTTGTTCCAGAGCTAACACTGTCATTTATACATGTACACATATGGTCCTCAGTGCACACTACACTTCACAGGGATGGTAGGACACACACAAAGTTGAGCTTTTCCATGAAAAATCTGTATAAAAAATACAAACCAAACTGAAGCAGTCAACACGAGAAGCAATGTGCAAAAATAGACAGTTACTCCTGAATGTTTGCTTAAGAAAAAGGGACTCTTCTGTCCTTGTTCCCCATTCAGCATTGACAATGCCAGATGTCTGAAAGTAGGATATGAAATAACTCGTCACATCCTGCCCCCTTCATGTTAGTTGCAGAGATTTTTAACCAGATAAATAATCCTGTATTAGTATGAAAGTCTGCCTCCAAGCATCACCACTGTGTGCTGTTGTTGCATCCAACAGATCTTTATATTGTTGGAAGGTCTGACCTGGGGCACTCAAGGCTGGTGACAACCTAGGCCTTGTGTGGAGCACACAGAAGAGGCAGAACCAAGACATCTCTGGTCACGGAGCCCCCTGGCAGGGGCTGGCAGCAGCTGCCTGCAGAGAACAGCCAGGGCTTGGGAGCTGTGCTCGCCCTGCTGGAAGGAGCCTGGCCCCCAGGTCCTGGCAATGGGGTGCACAGCTCTGCTGGCTCATGGTGGGGCTGGGGTGGGAGATGATTCCCCCGGGGTGAGGCTCCTCCCTGCAGAGGAACCGTGGCTGTGCAAGGGGCAGATGAAGGGGTGGAGAGCCACAGAGCCTTCCCCAGCCAGGTCCCTCAGTCCATGGTGCAAACTGGGGCTGCAGAACACCCCTGGCTGTGTAAGGACGTGTGTGGCTCTGAGCAAAGCTGTACAGGTGCTGCAGACACCGTGGAGCAGTCACACCAACCCATCCTTGTGAAACTGCTGCATGCAAACACCAACACTGTCAATGGCAGCTAAGACTAGAAATGGATTGCACTTGTTTCCCTTGAACACAGACACATACCACTAATAAAGAAAAAATAACCATTAAAAAAATCTTCAAACAGTTGATTGATAATTGGGATTCCCTTGGTTGGATTAAAGGAAAAGAAGAAGAAATTAGGGGCAGAGTGCTTCCTATCACTGAAGGTTAGCAGTAACATAATTTTTAGGTGTTGTGGATGAGGTTCTTCCCACCCATGAAACTTCATGGTGCAAAGCCCAGTATTCCCCTTGTAATCCAAATGGTTTTTAAGGATTCTATTTGAGCCCATGCAGAGTTAGGACTCTATTACAGAACTTGTAATTTTTTTTAAATGGGAGATCAAAGTTTTTCACAGCAAATCCTGCATGGATCCAGGGAAAACCTTAGCAAGACTCCCCTGTGTGTTTTGTTTTTTACTTGCAAAGCAAAGGTTTCAGTTTATTCTGAGGAAGGGAAGAAGTGGAAATTGTAGAGACTGGGAGGGAAGTAAATTGTAGAGACTTCTCAGGGAAGTAAACTGTGGCTGCTGCACTTTACATCCCAGCTCAGCAGACCACTTTAGCCAAGTATTTTAAGTGGGATTTCAGTGAGTGTTATTCCCTTTGGACCCCACTACAAAGACCAGTATACAACTGGAAGAACATTGCCTTGGACCTTCTCATTTCCCTTACAAAAGGCACAGAGGGAGGGTTCATCCTGTTAGCTCACACCTCAGCAAGGTGAAAACAATGCTCAGGGAACTGTGCCAAGCACCCCCAGGTCTCTGATCCCAAGGCCCCCAGCAGTTCCTGTTGGCTCAGGAGCATCCTGCAGTGACTGTGGTGCCCAGCCCTGTCTCAGAGAGGCCACTGTGCCCCAGCTGTGGCTGCAGGAGCATTTCTGCAGCTTCCTGAAAGCTTGGGGTGTGTGACACACCTGACCTGAGCATCCCTGGGCTCTCACAGCATGCACCTCTGGCTGTCAGTCAGCTGTTGGCAGTGATACAACTGTGGTAGAGAGTAGTTTTAGATGGTGAAATACACAAAATGAAACATCAGACTGCATTCTTACTGAAATTCTGATGCTGTTGAGCATTGGGGTTAGCTGCTGCTTCGTGAGTGCTTCCCACTGGGTTAAGATAATGTCCAGCATGTCAGTTAAGGCCATGATTTAGCAAAGCATTTGTGCATGTGCTTAAATCTGCCCTTATTCAGATAAGCACTTGTAGGGGGATAGAATATAAGAAAATAAAGATAGTGTAGAAAGGAGTCTCATCCCTAAGCAGTTGCAGCTGGGCCAATTATCAAAGATTAGGAGCAGGCCTGACTCTAACAGGCCACAGCTGTAAGCAATGAGAAGAAGATGCTATAAAAGAGTGGGGTGGCTGGGTGAGATGGGAGTTGGAGTCAGTTGGTGGTTTTGTGAGGGAAGAAAGAGTCAGTGCTCTGAGGAGCTGCCCATGAGAAACACCAAGAAGGTGTGGAACTTTTGTGATAAGGAGACAGCAAGATGGAACCCCTGTGGTAAGATGACAACAAGCACTGGCACAAATACTCATGTGCCTTGTGATACAGGGACAAACCTCAACTGCAGCATATGAATGTCAGTCATGTGGCTCTCCAAACTACCCCTTTAATGTCTTTCCCTGGTAGCACAGTGGCTCTCCTGGATTAAGCATTTAATTAATCTTCATCTAAAAGTTCCTGAGAACAGTCCTATAATGCTAACAAATGTACATAAATACAGAACTAAAAAAAGTCAAACTCATGGCTCAAAGCAAAACAAATATTGCTCAGAATACTTGTTTAGATTAAGATCACTAGCTGTAAACTGTGCATTCTAGTAGCAAACAAAAACTTGTTGGCCTAGGAAAAAAATCTAAAACGTTCAACATGATTGGCAGCACTATTATTTTACAGTGTGAAGTAAGAATAAAAAACATCAGTGTAACATTGCAAAATGATGCAGGTAACCTAAGCTCATGTAAACAAGTACGCTTTGACAACGTTTGCACGTCCAGGCGTGACCCTGCACTGGGAGCTGGGCGGGTGGAGACCCAGCAAGGGGGACAGGAGCTGTTCCAGGGTGCTCCCAGCTGCCCAGATCCCTGCAGGAGAGAGGCTCAGGGGTGTGAACCTGCAAACCTGTACTGGCATCACTAGCTCTACTCCTGGGAGCAGCCCATTGCAGGATTCAGTTCAGCAGGACTATACACACAGGTGAGGATTATTCACAAACATAAGGCATTGCAGAACTTGGCCCTAAAATTTCTATTTTCAGCAGAGAATCCCTTATCCATATACAAGGTGATATTTTTATATATCAAAAAGTGTCTAAAATAAAGGTCAGAGTCACTATATGTTATGCTCAGTAACACAGTTAAGATGCTGCATATTGGCTTCAGATACTGCAAACCATTTTCTTCATTAAAATCAAACCAACTATGAACCTTTCTCATAAGAATTAAATTAACCACAAAAATTAAAAGTGAGCAGGCTCTGTTTTCAAGGTTAAAAGGAGACATGAACAGAAATCAGCAACTCCCATTGCAGTAGTTTTCCAGTGCCTTCCCCTGTGAGCAGTGAGCACTCTGGGACTGCAGTGGTGGATGCTCCAGTGCTGCCTGGTGTCCTGGGTGCTGTGGCTACTGGCGCTCCCCTTCCACCCGCTTCTTCCGCACTGTGGGGGAACAAGGAGAGTCAGCTCTGCCTTCCTGAGAGCACCAGACAGCCCTCCCAGGGCATGCAGCCAGCACAGAAGGGAGGAGCTTCTGGGAAATGCTCAGAAGAATGACTATAATCAATATGTACCACAGACCATCATGCTCAATGAAATGATTGTACCTAAACTGCGTTTTCTGTGTCGCCGACTGTAGAATTTCACCAAGTGTTCACATCAATATGTTTTCCACAAAAATCTCATTCTGAGTTAAAGGTTTTAGATGATTAAAAAATCACCAGTTCCTGCACTTCCTTCCAGTGATTCCATTTAGATTTTATTACAGTTTTATTGTTCTTTTAAATGACACTGTGTTCCAGCTAAATTGATATTGGTCTGCTCTAGTCTGCAGTGCTCTGGATTATTTAAGCTTTAGGCATCAAAAATTAATGACTTCTGTAATTGCACAGTGTATACTGTAGGTAAGCAATAGTCATATTCTTTTAGAAAATAATTTGAAGTACTCTGAATTACCAATATCTGTTAATATTGGCAAAAAATATATTGGACCTTCAATTACCTGTTTAAACTTCACATGCTCTGACTGCATCTGATAATCAGTTAATTAACTCTGTTTTTTCACTGGAAACCACATAGGTTGAAGTTGCCATTTAGCAAAGCAGAGTGGTAAACCTTGTGTTTTGGGCAGGATTATTTTGACAAGCAGTGTGAATTTTTACAGCACTTAAGATATATTATACCTGGTATAGAGCAGGTTTAGTTGGGCAGCATTTGCTACTCCACATTCTAATAAAATACATTGAGTCTTTTCTGACCTGGCCAGATAAGATTTGTGAGGTTCTCCTGTTTGTGTGATACAAAATTTAGTGTTATGTCAGTGTCATGTCCTGTTTCTGATATTGAATGGCTGAAGCACAGAACAAAGCAGCAGAACTTGATGGATGAATGTTTTTCACCACAAAAAGTCAATAACAACAATATATTACTAAACATCTCATTACTTTACTAAGAGGAGGTTTTTTTCATCATGCCTTTTTGGCAAACAGATTGTATTATTCCAAAGCCTGCAGTGTAGCATCAGTCATTTGTGTCTGCTTTCAGTGTTCTGTTCATTTATTTTATTGAATTCCTTTAGGAATTCTGTCCTACAAAATCTTGAACAAAACCAAACAACACAAACAAATTAAGATTAGGACATAAGTCTAATGACAAGTGTTGAAATAATGGGAAAAATGGGTTTTTCTCTCTTTGTAGATGGGGTATTTCAAATACCCTTCTGGAACACTGACAGGAAAAATAGTATATAGTTGGAATGTTTAGATATTGCTAAAAATTAAAATTTCAAACACCTAAAAGTATATATGAAAGAAAAAAGGTTTTAGCTCAACTTTTATCTTAGTGCCCACAGAGAGAAACCCAAGCTGCAACCCACAAAGTCATCATGGTTTGATACCCCAGTATGAAGCAGAACTGATTAAAAATACAAAGTTTAATTTCTTTTTTTCCCCTTCCCACTCTAAATTTCTTCTGCCCAGTCATCTCCTGTGTATTCTGTGTACTGAGGGCAGAGCATGTCACACTCAGGTGACACTTGCAGGGTTTTCTTGTCTTTGCCTGGCCTTGGTCACAAAAGCAGGAGGGTCTGGTTTGCTCCCTTGGCTGGGCAGGCCTGGTCCATCATGGGCTGGACAACAAAGTCAGGACTTCTGTGTCCTCTGAGAAAACAGGATGGGTTTGACTCCTCATTTACTGGCCAGAACAGCTGATAGAGCAGTGAGAAATTTAGGACACTCCATAAAAAAGGCTGAAATAACTCCCCTTCCCAGATGGAGCAGGAGAAAAATGGTGGCTCCTAATCCCAGTAAGATCTTTGCTGTTCCCTGCTCTAGAGCCTGAGGAGCTTTGCCTCTCCCCTCACACAGAGCAGTGTTTTGCTGTAGTCAAAATTCCATCTGAATGAACAGACAGGGAGAGCTGTGCCTGGGAAGGTCAGGGCTGGGCTCACACAAAGAAATGATGAGTAAATGCAGCTTACCCAGATCATTGTTTTTAGTGATAGCTGCTGCTACCCTGGTTCTTGGACCTTGTTTTGTGAACTGGTATCCAAACTTGAGAATCCTGGAGTTCTCCTCCAGCATCTTGGCAATCTCCATCTCCACAGCTGTCCCAAGCTGCTGCCTCTGTTGGGGATGTAGTGAAGTGTCCCCAAAAGAAAAGGAAACATTTGCTTTCAGATGAGAGAGAAGTAAGAGGTTGCATTTAAGTACTGGGGTGCAAACTACAAAGAGAGTCCCATCCCTGGAGATTTTGCCTGGGTTTCCAGTAGTTTTATGGGAAGTTTTCCACCCTTTGGTGGAAAACTGACTGGGGACATGACTGAGACACAGAGGCTGCCTTGACTCTGCCAGAGTCCCCTGGTAGAACCCTCTGGGAATCCACACAAAAGAGAAACAAAAGTGAGCTTCCCCACTGGGCTCTCTTTACCTGGTTGTCAATTTTAATCTCTGTTAGGGATTCATTCTTTTTCAGTGCATCAATCAGGGCCAAAATCCCTGTCCCAGTGATGAAGTTGGATTCTACATTCAGACTCTTCAGTGTTTTGTTCACTTTCAACATATCTGCAAATGCCTGAAGGGCCAAAAAGAGGGAACATGAGATAACATCTTGAAAGTTTGAAAGTTTCAGGGAATAGCAGGGAATCTGCAAAACAGAGCTTAGTACCAACAAGAAATAAAGCATAAATATGCTTAGAAGAATGGAGAGGTAGATCAGAAGAGACTATATTTCTACTTTTCATAGCCATAGGGAATTCCTGCAAGGGAAAATAAAGAATGTATCCTAAAGCAGACATGGACCTACTTAAAATTTGTTGGTTTTTATTTTCTCCCAGTAATGTTAAAACTTACAATAGCTACGGGGTCATTGCTTCGAGTAGCTGCAAGACTGAATGTCTTCACATGTGTGTTGGTTTCCAGAGCTTTTGCAAATTCTTTCAGTGTTGGAATAGGAATATTCTAGGATAAAAAGACAAATCCAGTGATTAGGAAAGCCAATCACATTGCTGATTTTAATGATTATGAAACTGATTGATGAACAAGCACAGTCTATGCAAAGGAAACACCCCAGCTGGTTTTAGGAGTGTGTCAGAGTGGGCACAGTGGTCCCCAGAGGCTGGAGGTGCCTGAGATGCCAGCACTGCCCAGAACTGGGTCAGGCCAAGGCCAGCACGTGACCCTCTCTGAGCCACTTTCTGTTCCTCTGCCAGTTGTTCAGTCTCCAATGCCAGCTCCTCCTCCTCCTCCTCCTGCCTGTGTGGGCTGATTGAATTTGGCCAGTGATGATTACACAGTACCCATGAGAGATCTTCCTTCACAATCTGCTGAGAAAGGCAGCCAAGGGGAGTCACCCCTGGGGCATTTAATCAGCATTTAATTCAGGATCAGGAACTGATGACCTTGGAGCCTCTACAACAGTCCTTTCCCCACCCCTTCCCTGAGTGCCCTGCTTTTTCTGAACAGCAAAGAGAGACAAAATTTGAGGATAAAAGGCACAGGCTTTGGAAGTATTTGAATAAATACTCCTATGATGGCATGGACAAAACCACAGTATCTACCTTTATGTTGTTGAGATTAACTTCTGTGAGACTGGGATCATTTGCTTTTATCCTTTGTAAACTTGCTTCCACATTGGTAGGATTAGGTGGCTCCTCAAAGATGGGCTTGACCTTTTCACCTTTCACCACATCTGCAACACAAAATCTCATGAAATATCAGCCTAGGAACAGGCACCATCCCTCTGGCAGTTCCATCCCTGTTTAGGTTTGTACTGCAGCAATCCAGAAGGGGTTATGAGAGCCACAAAACCTGCAAGTAGGATTATTATCCCCATTTTATCCCTGCCAGGCCCTCTGCACCCCTGTGCACCCAGAGCTGTCACTGGAGGCTGAGGTCAGGCAGGCTGGGCAGCACTGTCAAGGGCAAACTCCTCCTTTATATAAAATCCCTGTACAATTAATTGGAGCCAAAGCAGCTTTGAAGAGTATTGTTTGGGATGTGATATACTGCAAGGGCTGCTTTGTACTTTGTCTAATATCTGTAAAGAAAAGTGTGCTCAGAACTTGCCCAATGTATTAGAGAGAAAATGCCCTTGCACCTATGAATAGGCTGTGCTACATAAAGCAACAAGAGCAGGAGGCCCCTCAGTTTCCTCCTCTCAGCTGATAGTATCAGCCTTACTTTAAATTCAATTAGCTCTTGTAAAATTGCAACATCTGCACTTTAAAAATAATAAAACTATCAAAGCATGAAAAGTAAGTCTGTCTGCCAGCACCAAGATTTATGAAATCTTTGAGTAGTCATGTTCCAAAGAACTATGGTATTTAGTGCTGGAAGCTATGAGCTATAAATATTCTCAGAGATGCATAAAAATCATAGCTTAGAACACAATTAGTACTTCTAATTCCCATGCATATAGTTGTGGAGATTAATTTATGAACCCTGCCTGCCACTAGAATGTTGCTGACCACAAGTATGTTTGAATCCTTTTATTTTATGCTGCAGACAGGGAGAGGTCTTGGAGCTTTGTGTTCAAGTGTCAGTGTAGTACACATTGCTGTTCATTGCAATGGGTAAAGGTTCATGCCATATCATGGGCCAAAAGAAAACCACATCTTATTCAGAACTCATAGTAGAGATGGTCATAGATACATCTTGAGCTGGTTTTCATTCTGCTCTCTTTGATATCAAACCTTTTTTTTTACTAATTACCTGAGAGACCTCACATATCCCTGATAACACTTCAGCCTTTCTAGGCAGCTGGGAATTGAAAACTACATTTAGAGAATTCACCTTGGATGTAAGGATAGAAAGTAAACAAAAAAAGCAAAGCAGTTTTTGCACTTGTGGCAGCACCCTGCCAGACTGGGAGCAGGGGAGACACAAGCACTCTGTCCTCAGGTTAGACATCACAGTGTACTCAGGCTAGAGTCAGGAGGAACTTTCATTTTCTACTTCTTGTTGCTTTCCATGAGTTTTTTATTGTTTCTTTAATCATGGTTCTGTTTTACCACATTGATGAGCAAATTTTTACTGAAGCATTTCACTTGGCTAAGGAAAGGTATTGCTTTTGGACCAAAGAATACAGTGATGTGATGGTGATTTTCTGGTTCATAGGTCTGTGATTGGAGCATAGTTTAGCTGACTCACATAGCTGACTTTTTGACTTAGTACAACAAAAATATTCTGAAATCTAGGAGGATTAGTAATGCATGCAGTTGCCTGTTATGAGATAGATGGCAGCTCACACAGGGCCCCACTGGGAAGGCCTGCAGAGCAGCTTTAGCCTGAGAAAAATGAAGTGACATGGTGTCCTGTCTGCTTCCCCACCTCCCCTTTAGCAATGGAAGATGGAAAGGAAAGCCCTTGGTACAGATAGCTGCTGTTCTCATGGCCTGAGAAGAAGAAAACATTTTTTAGTACTGTTTTCCTAGGAAAGGGCATTCCACAGTTTTGTCTTAAAAAGTAAAGTTTAGTCCACTAGATATCCAGGGCCTGGAGGTGACAAGCTCTGGATCAAGGCTTGGCAGCTCTCAAGAAAAGCTTGGAATTCAGATGCTCCATTTCTCCCTCCATCCAGCCTCCTGTGGGCTGCTGAGCTAAGATCAGATTCACCAAAGGTCTGTTTATTCAGTGGAAACATTTCTGGATTTGTTTTTAGTAACTGCAGCTGTTTCTCCTGGGGGATTTCCAGAATGATTCCGTTTCCTGTGTCCCTAGGGAGCCACAGAACAGGCACTCTGCACCACTGCCACAGGAGCCAGGTGCAGGTGGGAGATCAGAGGGAGTGGCTGGGGCAGGAGCACATCCAGGCAGGCTTTGCCTCCCTGTGAATGCAGCTCGAGGTGACTCTGGTCACAGATGTGACTCTGACAGGGATTCTGCCACATTTGAGCCCTTGTGGTTCAAATAATCACATTACTTGTGGTTACAAGTAATTTTTCAGGTGTGTAAGTGTAGGTACCTGGGGTGAGATGGCCTGGCCTGAACTGCAGCCAATTCTTAGCTACAGCTCACTCCCTTTTCTGCCTGCTGCCTAAACTGAAATGGAATGGAAATTTATATGTCTTGGCCTCTTAAATACTCCCACTCTTTCAAGCACCTCTGCAGAGCCAGATACTGCTCTCTAGGAAAACAAATTTCCTTAGGAATCATCTGTTTGTACACTACTGTTGTTATTATAATGAATTTTAAGATCGTATTTACTTTTAAAAGTCACCTTTCATGATGAGTTAGATCAATCAGAGTTAGGTCCAGTGACATTACACTAAATTAGACCAACAGAGCCCACCTACAGCTGTAAAAGTTCCTAAAGATGACATGCAGCCCACAAGAGAAATCTGCTTGCTTACTTCTCACGATTCCTTTTCCATCTTTACCACGGGCTCCTGCTTCATCAAATTTTGGGTTGTTGACCATGTTGTGCACTCCAAGAACAGCTGAAATGTGTAAACACCATCAAGAGGATACAATGTTAATGACAGGAACACAGACTGCAGGAAAGTGTCTGCTATAAATTGTAGTTTAGTTCCCCAAACAAAACCCCCTTCATAAAATGCTAACTGTGTGCCTCATGCCTGCTTGTAGGGAGAGTCTTTCAGGCTCCAAATTCTGGAGATACAGACACTTCCAATATAGATTTTTGAACAATTGAGTCAATGTAGGATGCATATCCCAGAAGTGCCAGCTGGAAGGAAGCACTGTGGGTCATCTTGTCCAGCCTCTCCCTCAGGCAGGAGTGCTGCCAGCTCTAATGAGGTCAGCCATGGCTTTGTCTGCTGGACTCTGAAAACACCCAGAGATGGAAATCCCACAACCTCCTTGGGGAAATTGTTTCAATGCTATACTCCTAATCACTTTCCTTCCCTAACATACAACCTGAACTTCTTATTACTCATGTTCTATTGTTTGGTGCATCTGAGAACCTCACTGTACATGTGATGAGCTTAATGCATTGCCATTCCCACCAGGGTTTCCAATGGAAGCACATCGATATTGCCATTCTTGGAAAATCATCAGAAGTGGTGAAGATACCCAGGTCTAATCACCTGGCAACCAATTTTCTCATTCAAGGGGTTAGATTCCAAATTTCCTCATGGATTCAGGACCTTTATCCACTGTAACAAGTTCATCTGACTATTTGGGATGCCAGAGTTGAGAGGAGGTGGCTGCAGTATGCTAAAACAACGTGGATACAGTGGGATGAGTCAGTGCCAGCACCCCAGCCTGCAGTGCACTGTCCACCCTTCCCCTCCCCAAATCACATGAGCTGCTTCATCTCCCCCCCTGGCCTGACACATCAGCTTGAAGCAGAGAAGTCTGAAATGCAGCAGCTGTTGAGTCACACTCCAGCCATCCTGGGCAAGTGTGACCCATCAGAGCAGCACCAGGGCCAGAGGGGCCACCATGAGACACTCCTGGTGGCAGGTCTGGCCAGAGCAGAGCTGCACATGTGGGAGGATCACATCTGTATGTTTTCTAACCTGCAAGGTCATAGAGCTCCGTGTCAGAAGCACTGGCCAGGGCCTCTTCTAGCTCTGGATCCAGGGTCACCTTCTCTTCCGTGCGCGTTTCTACAGGCTTCTCTTTAGGGATAAATATTTTGCCTAAGATAAAGAAAAAAAGCCAGAGGTGAGTAATGAATTATTGGAACAACTTCTTTGCCTGCTGGCAGCAGAGGAATAGGTCTGTGACAGTGGAACTGCTTGGAAATACTATCACATGTGTGTTTTTCTCTTTCTTACTTGATGTTATCCTCCACACCAGGATCTTAATAAGTCTAAAAATAAAAGGTGCAGATTACTGCTCTGTGTTGGTGATTATTATTTTAGGAATTTGCTCTCAGGAGGAGTCCCAGCTGGGATTTTTCTGAAGGTCCTGTGTCCTTAAATAGGCAGAATCAGGTCTACACAAAAAGCTTGCAGAAATTTTCATCCTTATATTTAAATGAGGCACCAGGAGCAGTTAAACCATTCCACTGCAAAAATCTTTCAGTTCATGAACTTCCATACATGATCCTGAAAGCTCAGCAATCCTGTTCTCTTCCAGTAACTCAATTCAATTCCCAGCCCCTCCAGAGTATCTTCCCTCTGTGTCTCCTGATGATCATTCACATAAATAGCCTTACCCTGATCATTTGTGCAGCCTGAAAAGTCTGAACTGAACCACATCTTGCCCAGGAAAGACTCCTGGCATATTTGTTACTCTCTGTATCCTGCTGAAACCTTTGGGTTAGCAGATATGTGTTTCCATGCAATATTCCCCCAAGACTGAGGTCATTGGCCTGTCTGCTGAAATGAGGAAAATGCAGGATAAATCCAGGAACAGCACAACAAGTTCCACTACTCCTTCAGGCTGCTGTGGTGGTTAACCTCAGCACTGTGATGATGTAACTGCAAATTGGAGTGGGGCCCTTTAAATCAGAGCTAAAGCTGCACTTTAGTCACCAGCACTGCTGGGCTTTTCTCTTTCTTTTCTACTTTCCTGAGCAGCCCCCACAGCCAGTAGAACTGGATGATCCCAGGATCAGACAGTGCCATTGCTCCAATAATTGAGGGAATTCCCATGATCAACTGTCCCCTGTGCCACAGTTCCCCTCACCCTGTCCCTAACAACCACTTCTCAGGCAGGCTTTAATTAATCCTGTTGTAATGATGATCTTTGGTGCAGGCAGCTTTGGCCCACTGTCAGCTTTAAGTTTTCATTTTGTGCAGCTTTTACACTCTAGAAATAATGCTTGAAGCATTATATCTAGTCCTGTGGCTTTCTGAAATGTTTCTAAAATAGTTTAATTTTAACTCTATTAGTCATCTTGTTACCATTCATAAATGCAATTCTGGTGTTTAGTACTGAATTACAGATGTTTGGCCTCTGGTTTTTTCAACACTGTCATCCTTCTGTGACTTCATTTTTCCCCATTATGGTCCAAAGTATCATTTTCATGTAGTAATTTCCAATTCATTTATATCTTTTATACAAGTTTGTCTACAGCCATTTTTATGCTGTCAGCTTTCATGACTCAAGTCACTGAGTAAGCTCAGAAAAAAACTTTAATTGATATTTCTGAAACTCTGGCAAGGTTTATTGATACATGATTCACATTATTTACCTTAGAGATATTTCTACCAAGGCTAAACCACTTCTGAGTAGAAATTAGACAAAGAGTTATGCAGAAAGTCAAAGCAGTATCATGGTATGATTTATTTTTCATGTGATACTTTAAGTAAGTAATCTTTTTAGAAAAGGCTTCAAGAAGATAAAAGCCTTTGGTGGGTGAAAGGTAAGAACCATTTTAACTATGACTGCATTAGGTCACAGCAATTAAGACAGCCATCCCAGCAGCATCAAACAAAAATCAAGTGGAAATCTGGGGTAAGAAACACTGCAAAGATGGGGCAGTCATGCTCTCCAGATTTACCAGCAGCACAGCTGGGCAGACTTCAGACCTTCTCTGTGCTACCTGACCTCAGGTGTTGGATGGCAGCTTCCAGACATCACTGACCAAGACTTAACCTGATGCCAGCTTGACTATGCTGGAGGCTAGAAAACCAAAATCAATCAGAATATTTGAGTAAACAATCAGTATTGTGGAATGCTGCCCAGAAAGGGTTTTCCTTTCAGACCCCTGGTGATTCCACGTGGATTTCAAATATTCAGTAGGTTGTTTGAGGTATTGAGGCAATCTTTATCCTGACTGATAACACTGATCTGTAGCAGCAATTCCACAGGGCCCCAGCCTGTGGAGACAAAGCATCTCCACCAGGCAGGGAGTGATTCTTCCCAGGCCCAAAACCAAGTCACACTTTTAACAAACACTGATCCAAGTCTGTGCTTTCACACATAACATGGTAAAGGGACACAGGACCTTGAGTTTGGACTAAACTGGGCACCATATGTGGTGTAGTTGGTCTTTAAGGACTTTGGATATGTGAAGGTCAAGTGCCTTGCATAGCTAGAAATCAAGGGGTAATGGAAACCTCTAGAGGCTCATACCTTTTCTGTACAGTTCACATATATAGGAATACAATTTTAAACATTTGTTTCAGGCATATGTAATTCTTGGATACCAGCCTGAATCTCATTAAATGTGTATATGATTCCCAATGATAGGTTCATTTAATGCATTCTCGGCAAATGAAAAAAAATCTATTCTTGGTTCTATGAAATATTTAAAGGGGCAAGGTCATGTCAAAGACAGTAATATATATCTTTAATGTATGTGGGCTTTGCTGGCATCCAGTGGTGTTTAAAAATATTCATTTTACTGCTATCTAGATAAGAACATTCCACTGTGAAGAGATGCTGTAGCACAGCAGATGGAGGTTAGAAAAACTTCTGTATTTAGCATGTTATTAGGAATTTATTACCTGTCCACAAAACCTGTGTGTCTGTCTATAGACAGCTGTCAACCAGTTTTCCTTCATTATTTAAGGATAGAGTTTAAAGATTCAGGAGGTGTCTCCTAGTCCCACATCTGTACATTGTAAATTCATTATCCAGTGCATCATGGAATTCACTGACAAAATAAAATATGGATTGTGGCTTCCTTGATCAATGGTCCAACTTAAAATTTATTACTTGGAAGAAGCCTTGGAGGAATAGTGACATTTTATTATTATAAAGTGAGATTTATGAAGAAAGGCTGCTGCTCTTGGTCTTCTTTATATTCACACTGTGTTTTAGAAGGTACTTTATTATTACTTTATTCTATGTGGTATAATTAATGTTGGCTGTGTTCTATTTTGCCTCCAGAATATGCTAATGTTCTGTGCTAAGTTTTAATAGTAATAGCTTAACTTTCTACCAATGAAAAACGCAGCGACAGAAGTTCTGTTTATACATAACTTGAGCTACTTTGTTGTTAACAAGACAAATGTAACCATACTTCTGTATAAGAATAATTTTTTTTTGCTTCACTCAAGTAAAATATAATTTTATTTTTACACAAGCACAGAAACCCAAAGTGTGTGGAATCCCAAGTGCTTTCTTTCAGTGTGAAATTTTAAGTGTGCATCACTGCAATTCTCCCCTTCTTTTGGCCAAACTGGGCCAAAAGTGTCTGGGGTGACCTGGGTGATGGCTGAGGCAGCTGATTACAAACCAGGGACTTGCTGAGTGTGAGTGCAGTGAGCAGAGTTTGGTCTTGGCTCAGTTTAACAGCAGACCTACTCCTTTTCACCCACTGCAAAAACAAGACTTCTATTGAGACTGAAATAGGATAGGGCTTTCCTCAAAAGAGACTATGGAAACAAAATCCATTGACAGCCAGAGGGAAGAGGATTCAGAGGAAAGCACTACAGAGAGACACAGAATATGGACCAAGGTAAAAGGAAAGCAAATTCTCTATAAAAAAAAAAAAAAGAAATTCATTGGGAACAGTCATGGAACCACAGATCTCATTTTGCCACTTGGTTCAGCCAGGTCTCTTTTCCTGCATTGTGCAAATGCCCCCATTAAAGCAATGTCAGAGTAAAGCAAGGAAATGAGACCTCCACCTTCTTATACAGTAATAATTAACTACCATATGCACATCTATGGGAGGATTTTTAAAGGATATTTACTTAATTTTATAATACAAATGCATTTTCTGCCATAATTGTAAAACAATAATGTACTTTCTTTTCCTATATAGTGTAGCTCAGATTCTTGTATTTTCAAGAAAAGACCTGGTTACACTTACTAGCTCTGACTTCTCAATGAATCACTGAGCACAGTGAGTGCCTGTTTGTTCTCAATTACAGAATGCTACACTGACTTTGGGAGTGAAATTCAACAATCCTGGAAATCTGCCTTGCATAAATCACAGGCACCTGATTCACTTTTTTCATTTTACACTATTCTTTTCTGTTGATGCTTTCTTAAACACCTCCTGACAAATATGCTATAAAAATGGAGCTAAATTAGTTCTTACCAAGGATAAATTTGTATTATGAAGAAGAAAACACCAAGTTCAAGTAAGCATGAAGCTGAACGCCAGCAGTAAAAAAATGCAGTATCATAATTGTTGTTGTTCTGTTGCTCTTGGATTAGTGTCAGCATATTCTATGCCTTAAAAATTATGACAATGGAATAGGAAGGCTGCAAAGATAAGCATTCCAAAGTTGTTAAATCTATTGTGCATAAACACAAAAAGTGAACTTAAATTGCACCAGTATCCTTGACTTTGATCAGCATGCTGTGATCCTGCCACTGCAGCAATATCCTTCAAAGAGCTCTCCTGGGAAGTATGCTAGCTCAAACAAAAATAAACAAAAGCCAACCTGTACTTTTTTAAAACAGAAGGAAGCCCAGAATTTCTTCAGACCCACACATGGATTATCACAAGTTAGGATGCAGCCCTAGGGCACCCTCTGCATTTCCTCCTGGATTCTCACTCCACCAAGTGAGCAGAAAGTTCCATGGCTGATGTGGAATGGTGCTAGAGGAGGAAGAAACTCAAACTGTGCCACTGCACTTCAGGTCCTCCTGGACACCAAAGACCTTTGAAATGTGGCCAGAGCTGAATACCACACTAGTTATGTTCCTTTCTGGCCAGTTTTCTGCCAGCCAACACATTCTTCTCCTCTTTTCCTTCCCTCATTGCCCCCTGTGCCTTCCCCATCCCCTA